ATGAACTGTACTAAACAATGCATATCCATGGTTAGTAGGTCACGGTGCCTTGTATAATAAAAAGTACGAAAACGAATGACAAGCCAGCTGGCACCAGTGACAGCAGGCATCGAGTGGGCCCCAATCACGTGGTGCTTCATCGATGTACTTGCCGGATAACAAGCCACGTGGCGAACATCGGAACACGTGTTCGCGAGAGGCTCAAACATCGGACCAGGCGAATCGGCCTCTCTCTCGCCTCACGACAAAACCGAGTGCCACGTCTGCTCCCGCGCAGGCCGGAATTTGTATTTCCCAGAATGCCCTTGTTTTGGAACTACATGCGAAATCAATCCTCCTTTTTGTCGATATCGCATTTGTTTACCCGTACCTCGTAAAGCGAAGCGTAGTTGAAAAATTTACCCCACACTCTTCCATCCGAATGACCAAATCCAGCCCGAATGACCCAATCCACGTCCTCAAATTCAAGTGAAAGAGAAATTTACAAACTAAAACAAACAAGAGTAAGACACCGAGTATTTTTTTTTAAGAATAACAAAAATAATATAACCATGTCGATCATCACTTGTTTCGTAGAATTTTTAATATAACTTTTTAATGTGTAAATTTTATTTTTTTAAAATTTAACTATAATTATCAATTAAATTGTATTTAAAATAACTTTAGTCAAATACCATAAACCGTAACGAACAATTTAAATTAGGACAAAAGAAATAATTTAAAAAATTTGAATAAATATAAAAAATAAAATTTATTATTAAAAACAGTGAAAAGTAAAAGACGAATTGTTTTGTAAAATGAAGAAAATATATTTTATCGAGTAATTTGTACTTTCTCCATACTAAAATTATCTCCATGGTTGAGTTTTGTGTTTGACATGTTTCAAGAACCAAGAATCATAAACCTTGAAATTGTTGTTAAAACTTCGAGCTAATTTACCAAAATGATCTATGAACTTTGAAGAACATTTCTATATAGTTTAATTGAAGTTTTGTGATTAAAAATGAAGTTTTTGAAAACTGGTCCGAAGTTGATGATGACACTGTTTAAACTACGCGCAGAATGCTAACGAGCTACCGCCGGCATGGTAGACCATAGTGTCAGAACGGTGGACCACCTACCATCCCCAACATGAGTTGCCTCCTTCTCTTGTGGTACCTGAAGCTAAGTGGTACCCCGTGCCGTTTGGACGGTACTGTAATGAGTACCGTCCGAACTCGAAATTTTTCTAAAAACCTGATTTTTGAACTGTAAAATCAAATTTTTGATACTTTTCAATTATGATCAATATGAAAATGATTTCTAAAAATATTTTGATCCTGGATCTTCTTCCTCTTGGGAGTTGATTCTGAATTGAAGGAAGCCCCTTGAACTAATGTTTTCATTTGCTCTCAAATAGAGAAGGAGACCCTTGAGGATGCGACAACAATATTTTTGTTAAAGAGAAAGAAAATAGAGAGAATGTAACTTGAAATCTTGAATAAAAATATTTTGGTTTTTCGTTGATCAATAGCCAACCCAATTAAAACCTAACAACCAAAATGGTTTGCTAAGAAATGAAAGTAAATCACAATAATAGTCTTGTAGGCTAAAATAAAAATAAGAATATAAAATAGTAATACCTCATAACAGGGACAAATAGATTTTGTCGCGTGCCCGTCCGTAATACTCCCTCCGTCCCAAAAAGAATCTCAAAAAGAATAAGACGGTTTGACTTTTTAAGAAATTAAGGGAAGGATATTTTGGTATTGATTTTCCAAAAATACCCTTGATGTGATGGGTAAAAGCAGGATGTGATGGGTAGATTATTAGAAAAAAAATATGATGTGATAGGTAGAGTATGAAAAAGTAAGGGGTAAAAGTGTTTTTTAATAGAAATATAACGGACTTTACGGGACGCAGTTTTTTCTAAACGTAACAAACTTTTTGGAATAGAGGGAGTATGAATTAGTGTCACTAAATTGAGTTTTGCGGTAGAAATTATTCATCCTACATCGATCTTGTAGTGATATATAGAAAAATTTCCCTCTTGAAAATTCCCTTTTCAATCAGGTTTTCATCACGGATCCAAGGTAGGGATGACCAAAAGGTCCAACTATCCTTAATAAGAATACATACTATGTATAAGATGAAAATGTTGGGATGGTGTGTGCCGTCACCCCAACCATGCATTAATATGATATTGTCCACTCTGGACAGACCCGCCCAATCATATTGGAAGGCTTTGTGCAGTAAAATAATTTTGGCCCAAAAATTTTTAAATTAAAACCATATCGTTAATTTTAAAACTTTCTTCCCACACACTATTCGAAGTAGGGAGGAAGTATAATAAAAGAGGGAGAATGGGAGAAGGCAAGAATTAAAGAAAGAATATTAGTCCAAGAGTCCAACTGAAGAGCTGAGCTGGGAATGAAGAAAATTAAATCAAATACGGAGTACGTAGTAAGTAAATAAGTGTTCATGGCTTCTTGGATAGAATATGGACGGCCGAGGATAATATGGAGTAAATGAATAAGGGCCGGATTGGAGTGCGACTAACGGGTAAGTATTAAAAATGGGCCTTTGAAATTTTGAGGCCCTGTGCAAAAGAACCTCATGAACTTGCATATGGGCGGGCCTGACTCTGGGCAAGTCCTCACAGATTTATTTTTAGGTATCTTACAAAAAGTCTCATACTAATGAGGTTGGGTAACCATATAAATATTGCTTTTCCTTCTCTTGTTCTTCCAGTGTAGGAAGCTAGTTTGCACCTAACAAACCTCCCCTCAAACTAACGGCCGCACAACTCGTGACCTCCCCTTCAGCGATTTTCTATTTGATCTGCCACCATCTTGTACTGCTGTTATACACTTGCAGGACACGCCGCCTACAAGGCCGCATGCAGACCTTAGGTCATTTTGTCAAATCGGGCACACTGAGAAGTTTGCACAATGCAATTCGCCGCTCTTGTCCGCATGAACTTGGGCTCCGATACCATATAATGCTGGGACCGCACGCGCCCTCTTCTTGTACCAACGCATTAGTATGGTATTATCCCCTCTAGGCCAACCTCTCACATGTATATTTTTGGGTACGATCCAAAAAACATCATACTAATGAGGTTGTGTAATCATATAAAGATTGATTTTCGTTTCCTTGTCCTTCCGGTGTGGGAGGCTAGTTTGCACTCAACATTAAAATGATTCAAGTCTTTTTTCTTAATGGATCTCGACTAGCCGTAGTCCATCTTTGTGAATAAATATTGATTTTTTTGAATCGGTTATATTGCTTAGGATCGCCCCAAGTCCGGTCTGATCCGAACTTAGATCGATTTTTTTAAATATAATTTTAAATATTCATCGAAAAACCTAAAAATGTTTTCTTTAATTCTTTCTTATCGGATTCCGATTTATTCCTAAATTATTCCCATCAATCTTTTCAATCTCAAGCTTCTTGGGCTTCAAGAGTGCAAGGCAAAATACACGTGTACAACGTAGCAACAGAGTGGGTTTTGTTCCCAAGTTGTAACTTTTGCGTGGGGTTTTCGTTAAAAGGCCCGACCCGAGTCACTGGCTTCGCGGTCGGCCCGGTCGGGCGATTTGCATATACCGGAGTATCGACACTGGAAATGAATTATTTTAGGAATATATAAAAACACAAAATAATTGATGGTCCAAAAAGCCAGGTAAGCTAATTATTTTTATACGAAAGTGGGCCCAGGCAATAAGAGCTGGAGTTTAAAACACGAATATATAAAGGGATAAAATAGTGATTTCGTCTGGTCGAAGTTGCACAAACCACTCATAATTGTTCCCTTGGCAAACACAAAATGGCAGTTAGCCATTACCCATTCTTCTAAATTCTAATACCCGTAGGTCCACTACTTCATAATAGAGATTTGAAACTTTCGTCACAAAAAAAATATAGAGATTTAAAATTAGAATGAGTAAGTATAGCTTAAGTGTACATCACCTTTTGAGAGATACACGCAAATATATATTGTCTCATTGTCTGTGTTTCACACAGATAATGAATGTATGTGTGTGTTTGTGTGATTACTTTGCAGTATACTACCTTGGGGTACACCTAGACTTTTTCATTTAAAATAGAGAGGGGTTACACTTACACCAACATTTTACCATATCAATCGTTACACAAATTCAATTAAAATACTTGCAATGTTCGGTTTTTATAATCGATAATTTTTCGCCCTTTTAATCATCCCCTATACCCACTCATGTCCCCCTCCCTCCTCTGACATTAGCGTGGGACAGGGGAGAGATTGTGCAGTTTACGGGTTGTCAGGGAAGATATGAATCATCAATTTTAGAAACAGAATGTCGTATATGTCACAGTTGAATTGATGTTACGAAATTATACCACTTGAAATGGTGTAATATCTACCTTCATCTTTAAAACAAAACTTTTTCGGATTCTTTAGCATTATTACTTACTCCGTATATGATCAAATTATTTTATTTTTATTTATATACGGAGTACTTTGGAGTATCTCTGTCTCAGATTATTTATCTAGTTTTAGTTTTTATAATTAATTTATTTAAAAGTAGAGTATAATTAAAAAATAAAAATAGCATAATTTTTTTTACGAAATAAGAGATGACATGAGGATAATATACTTCGTATTAGCATAACTTATCAAATTATATTTGGGAGTATTAAAATACATTATTTTGACATCACACTTTTATGGGCTCTATTGGGTGGTCGTTTTTTGGCCACGTCGGATTCGAGTTAGATCGATGACTAATATTTAGCGGGTCATTTTGAATTCGTTAATGGAGTTTTATTTTCTCGGAGGAAAATTGAAAAGGAGCATTATTTAAAGTGAAAAAAAGAAAGTTTAAATTGAAAAATGTGAGGAGAGAGAGAGAGAGAAACTTGAAACTTATCCATTGGACATGTATAAAAGCAGATCAGAGCTCTCTCTCAGAGAGAGCAGATAGAGCAGAGCAGCCATTTAAGCGTAGCAGGAAACTGCAGGATTACAGATAGAGCGATCAGAGATAGGATAAGGAGAGATTATTAAATTCAATTCGATTCTGGTGGATGGGAAGAAGAAGAAGAAGAAGAAACAGAATCAAAAGGAGAATCTAATTATTACAGTAGAGCATTTATACTTCTCTATATCGATATATAATCGCAATAATCATTCTATAAATTCACCCCTCCCCCCACAGAATCCATACGATTTCTCTCGCATTTCGATCGGCTATGGCGACGAGGACGAAATACCGCTTCCTGCCGGCGACTGACCGCGACGCGCCGATCAATTCCGACACCCTGTTCGAATTCGACGAGTCCGACGTCTGGAGCGCCGGCCGCGGCGCCTCTCCGGAGAACCACAGGAAGGCTGGGAACTCCCGAGTCTCGAGGAGGCAGTCGTCCGTCGCCGCCCGGGAGGCGGCGACGGGGTCTCTGCCGGTGAATGTGCCGGACTGGTCGAAGATACTGAAGGACGAGTACAGGGAGAACCGGAGGAGCGAGAGCGACGAGGACGGGGAGGATGAAGGCAGGGGAGACCGGATTCCGCCGCACGAGTTGGTGGCGCAGCAGATGGCGAGGGCCCGGATCGCCTCCTTCTCGGTGCACGAAGGCGTCGGGCGCACCCTCAAAGGGAGAGACCTGAGTAGAGTCCGCAACGCGATTTGGAAGAGAACCGGGTTCGAGGATTGATCATCTCTTTTCTAGCTAATTTCCCCACAAGCTAAGGAATGAAGAAGCTAAGGAATTTTTCAATTTTTCCCACTTTTTTCTTCATAATTTCCGCTACCATAAATTTATTATATTACGGATTATGATATAAATATATATTACGATAAAAAAAAACACTCGGTATTTAAATTCCATATAAATTAAAGTTGTGGATTAAATGCATGCTATCCATACCTTATGTAGTTATGTGTTAACATTATTTATTTAATATGAGAGAAATTTGGTCTATCATAGTATCATCTTGGCATTCTTGTCCGTTTAGAATTGTTCTACCATTCTCCGTTTGGTTGATAAAATTTGAAAGGAAAAGAAAAAAAATAATTTCTCTCATTTCTTTCTCCAAAATGGGAGCAATTTACTCCCTCCGTCCCACTGTCTTTGTCCACTTTTGACTTTTGAAACTGTTCATTTGAACACTTTGACTCATCAAATTCTCTCAATGTGTAAGCTTAAATATAGTCATGTGTGATCTTGTTTGATTTGTCTTAACATATAGATTATTAATATATAATTTCTATAATTTTTTAATATACAAATTACAAGATAAAATGGATTAAAGAAGTGCATTGGATGGTGTGCCAAAAGGTAAGTGGACAAAGACAGTGGGACGGAGGGAGTAGTTTTTTTTCTCTTTAATACTCGTACTTGTCAAGAGTCAACTCAACTAAAAGTTCAAATATTTGGTTGTAGTTCAAGAATAATTTTATACAAAGTATATTCTAAAACGCCTCTTCATGTACATGCATGGTTTTTTTGAGTTTTGTACGTGAAATTTTAATTTTTTTTAAATTAGGAACTAGTGAATTTTGAAGTCGTGACTTCCTGATCATTGACTTTGATACAGTGTGAGAAAACAAATGAACCAAAAGTTCAAGCTTGTGCTTGTAGCTCAAGAATGATTTTATATATTCTAACAAGAATTTTTGCGTTCTCATTTCTTTCAAATTTACCTTTCTTTTTTTTCCTCTCTAACTAATAAAGAAAAATGTTTTCTTTCTCATTTTTTCCTTTCCCCCTCAAATTCCTCCAACCAAACATAGTTTTAAGATCTAAATATGTAATGTAAACGTTTTCATATTTGGGCTAACAAGTGATCTTTTACTTTTTGTAAAAATGTTAAAAAGCATCCAACATCGGAAAAGTGTGAGGAAATAAATCGGTATATAAATTCTTGAGTTGAACTAACTAATTGATGAGATTCAATCTTTTAATATGGTTCAGCTCAAGTGTCTTTTAGTCGAATCCAGTTGTCCATATCTCATCCCAAATTCTATCAAAAAAGTTGCAATTTTTTATGTTTTTAATGCATTAAGCTAAGGTTAATAAAATGAAAAAAAATTTAGAATCACATAGGAATTTGTCATTTTTTATTCTTTATTTTTGCACAAAATGAAAAGCAAAGGAAGAAAAAAGTAGGAATGTTGTCGTGTTTTTACTCATTTGACAAAGTTTTAAAAATAAAAATATATATTCGTAAAGAAATAGAGTATTTTAAAAATCATATCAAAAAATTACAAATATGATACTACCTCCGTCCCTCTGTCTTTGTCTACTTTTGACTTTTGGAACTGTTATCTAAGCACTTTGACTCATCAAATTCTCTCAATTTGTAAGCCTAAATATAGTCATGTGTGATCTTGTTTGATTTGTCTTAACATATAGATTATTAATATAAAATTTCTATAATTTTTTAATATACAAATTACAAGATAAAATGGATTAAAGAAGTACATTGGATGGTGTGCCAAAAGGTAAGTTGACAAAGATAGTGGGAGGGAGGGAGTATGATATATTGATATGCCTTTATCATAGACTATAATGGTAGTGCGTCATTTCGAGCAAAATTTTACTTCATCCAGGGCAGATTTTAAAATACTTATGTCCTAAAAGATTGACACAGTAGCTATCACAACTTTTGGTTACAAATTATGAAAAAATATATATTTAATTATGATATAAATTTTGTAGAAATAAATTTATTTTAAAATATAATTTTAAAATATCAAACTTTTATAATATTTAATTATTTTAAACTATATTTACTTGAGGTCAAAGAAGCCAACTACAAAAATCAAATTGTGACAATCTTTTAAGCGCAAAGTCAAAATTCCAAAAGATTGCATCAAAGTTTTTACGAGTAAATTTCATCAGTGGTACATGAACTTTAGCTGGAATTTCGAAGTGGTACCTAAACTTCAAATCCTTTCACAAAAATTTCTGAACTTACACAATCATTTCACTAAAAGTCCATTTGCTCGTTTCTAGGTTAACTTCCGGTTATTTGGGTCAAATTAGAATTTTATATATTTTAAAATTTTCATTTTGACCCCACTTCTTTATTTTCTTTTCTTCCGCTCCCCGCCGCCGTCGCACCACGTCAAAGTCGCCGGAAAATCAACCTGGTCAGATTCTGGCGGGACCAATGCCGTTCTCTTCGTCTTGAGATGAGGATCAAGAATATCCAAATCATTTTGTCCAGTTTGGCCTGCAACTCCTCGAATTTGAATTTTTCCACTCAAAAAAACCCTAAAATTCGAAATTGGGGGTTTTTTGCAAATCGCCATCAAATCTTGCAATTGAGAGGTTCTTGGAGGTCGCCGAGATTTCACAAACACTTTGGAGGGGATGAGCGACGTCAATTTCGCCGGAGGTGGCCGAAAAACGCTCCAACCCGTCAGAAAGAGGCGGCGTTTTCCGGCATAAAAGTCACTAGAATCCCACCGATGACTTTTATGCACAAATTTAATTTTTTTTCATTATAACCCATGTTGAGCTTGACCAAACGAACTATTTTAATATGAAATATTTGTGCATGGAAGCCAATATGATACTCCCTCCGTCCCAAATTATTTGCAACGTTTGTTTTTTCAGCAATCACACAAACTTTTATTTATTTCTACGTTTTCATAGGTTATTTGATAAAATAAACACTATTGTTGGATGGAGAGAGTATAAAGGAAAGGTCCACCTACATAGATTAGGGGTGAGCAAGTACCGAACCGATACCGAAATTTTTCCGAAAAAACCGAGAATACCGAACCGAAAAAATACCGAGAAGGAACCGAACCGTACCGAACTGAATGGTTGGTACGGTATTCGGGAACGGTACGAGGTTATATCCCATACCGAACATATTGACTAAAATATTATAAAAAAAATAATACCCAGGAGTAATATTTTTATATTCCTTCACTAAATAATAATTTTTTTAAAAAAAATTGGTTCAAGTTCTATGATGTGTAAATTATAGTTTTATTTGAGTTTTAATTTTTGTGTATGAACATAAAAGTATTCACAAAGATTCGAAATACACCTTTGTTGTCGTTCATTTTTTTAGTTTGTGAAATATAAACTAAGTTTTAATACGCATCTCTTGTGTTTAAATATCATTTTTTTAATCTTTCAAGTTTTTTTATTTAAATAAACTTTTAATTTTCAAAAATAAAGGGGTATTGTTAAATTTTAACGTGTAAAGTAGGTATGTATATTTATACCGATTTGTACCGAAACCGATACCGAACCATCCCGAACCATACCGAATCGATATTTTGGAATCGGGATCGGTACGGAATAAAATCTCATACCGAACCGAAATATTTGGTACGGTATCGGTACGAGCTAAATACTGTACCATACCGTACCATGCTCACCCCTAACATAGATGATGAGTGGATAAGTACCTAATTATCTTTTTCTTGTTTACTACTGTAGACTTGTTAATTGTAGTAGATAGATAAACTTGAATTCGTACTGGGGTTGAAAGAGGATGTTATCAAAGTTATTTTAGGTTAGGTAGTGCAGACGTTTTGAAGTTGATATTCCCTCCATCCCTAAATATTTGCCACTTGTATTCTCGAGATAAAATATCAAATTTTTTCAATTTATTTTATTTACAAATTAGTATAGAAATAAAAAATAAAATTTACATATCAAACAATTCTATGAAAAGTTCTTCGAAATAAGAGGTGTCAAGAATATTTTATTTTATCAAATAACCAATGAAAACGTTGAAATAAACAAAAATTCCCGCGACGCTGAAAAAATAAACGTTGCAAATATTTAGGGACGGAGGAAATAAAACAATAGGTATTGGAGACAGGGCTCATCTCTTTTTGATAAAATATACTTCCTCCATCCTCAATTTGACTATAAATTGAAGTTTACGAAGAGAAATATCTCAATTTTTGAAATTATTTTATTTACAATTCGGTATGTTGTTAAAAAAATAAAAAATTACATATTAAAAAGCTACATCACTACAAAAAAGAGGTGATAAGAATACTTTATTTTATCAAATACTTGATGAAATCGCGTAAACAAGTAAAAGTTATCAAGAGGAGAGAAAAAAATTGTAATCAAATTGGGGACGGAGGGAATAGCTTACCAAAAGTGCAAAAGATGATCAATGAAGAAAATAAGTATACTCTCTCTATTTTAAAATTATTTTCAGTTACTATTCACGTAGTCAAATAATATACACTTCTTTTTGCCTATTTTTACTAATCATTTGATAAAATAGTATAATTCTTGATGGATAGTTGGATACCCAAGAATGGGGAGTATCTAGCCTAACAAAAACAATAACAACACAAGGCCCATCTAATCGCAAGAATCGGACGCGCTCGGCCAAAAACACCTTACTCGGCCGAGCGGGACTTAAAGGAAATCAAGCCCTCAAGGTGGCAACTGCACTCGGACACGCATCTCTACTTAACTCGAACCCATGGGCATATCCGTGCAAATCTTTACTCGGCTGTCTTCCAGCAACGAAATCATGTGCTTGGCTCCTGCTGCCAGAGAAGCAAGACAACCCCTATTACGGGCATGAGATCCTGTATGCTCTGTCTACTCAACGGGCCCATACAAGGGCATCTATGATGATATTCGTTTGTACATTATTTATTGTCATAGTATTTGTAATTATATCTCTTGTATTATTATTCAAAGATATGATTCCAGTGGGCTCGGCCCACTACGTCCTGTCATAGACAACGGCTAGGAAACACATGCAAGTATAGGACAAATGTATTGTATAAATATCCCTTCTTTTCGGGGAGAGAAGGACATGTTTACTACCAAGAAAATATACTCTCTGCACTCTTGCGACCGAAAAGGCACTAGACCCTTGTTCGACACTCTCCTACCAAGTCTCCTAGGTCCCGAGTTCTAAAATCCATCAGTTCTATTACTTTTAGTTTTTATAAACCTTTTGATGTAATTTTTAAATATATATACATTTTATTTTTAAATTTT